AAAGAAAGAAAGAAAGAAAGAAAGAAAGAAAGAAAGAAAGAAAGAAAAAATGTTTCTGACTTGGAAATAGCAATATCCTTATTATCTTTACTAAAGTGCTCATAGAAGGTATATTTGCATTTAAAAGAACTACACAGCAGAAATTTATCCATCAAAAATGAAAGCAGGGTAATAGTTTAAGGAAAATATTCAGGATGATGAATATCTGACGGTTTAATAAATTAGAGTAAGATGGTTATACTGATGATTTAATAAATTAGAGTAAGATGATTTACATACCTCTGTATGCTAGAAGACATTGAAACACCTATGGAATTTTCTATGGTCTTTTTTTTAATCAGGAAAATTACCTCCCAAAGCAAAATAACGTTCTACTAATACAAACACAGAGAATCAATTTGATGTCGGGAATAGTTCTAGACCTGCCTTAGGCTAGTTCTCTCTCAGCCCTACGAAGAAGCAGGGAAGGGGAGCAAGCTATTTCCAAAATTTTGCCAGCAAAGTCACAGAGACTTTTCCAGGCAGTCACTACGAGTCAAATCAGATTTAGTGACACCCCCCAAAAATTGCAGGCATTAAATCAGGAAGTTTTATGAATGTTCTGTGCAAAGGGTGTGTGTGTGAGAGAGAAAGGACCATACTTTGCTAAGATTTATACCTACAGTTTGGGAATTTCAACCAAGTTTCTAGATTTTACATTCAGACGCCAGCAAGATTTACCTAACTGCTTTTTTCCTTCTTGAATCAGTCCTTTGCTAATCTCCTTTTCCCCTAAAACACAATTCCTGTTGGTAGGCAGCCTTAATGAATACAATGCAATATTCGTTCTGTTTACAATGTAATCACATGGCAATGGACACTTTTGTAATTCCAGGAGAGAGAACGTAGTACACTGAAAGGTTGCCCTGCGTTTTATTCTTTGTTTATACAACACAAACACACGTAATAAACCACAGCCACTATCTCTCCTTGCCACTATAGGACAAAGTCACAGCTTCAGTTCAAGAGTCGATGTGAACAAGATGGCACGCAAATGTAAACACTAACAAGGACACCCAAAGATGTTTTTCAAAAGGCAAATGGACACCTTTGATTTTCCTTGAAGACATGTTGCTTCTCAGCCAAAAAGCTTCTTCAGTTGAACCGAACTGAACTGAGTGAACTGAAGTTGAATGGACTGAAGAAGCTTCTTGGATGAGAAGTGAAACATCTTTAAGAAAAAGCAAAGAAAGTCCAGTTGTCTTTTGAAAAACACTTTTGAGACAACCATGGCCTGGATGAAAGAAAATGTCCACAGACAATACTAGCAACAGTGGATCAGCTAGCTAGGTGCTGCAAGAAAATCACACTGACTGGTTACAAGCAATGGCATGACAGAGTTGCAACAATGGTGCATTGGAATATCTGAAAGAATTACCATTTGCCTGCAAGCAAGAACTGGTGGGACCATAAACTAGTCAAAAGTAATAGAATATTAAGAAGCGAAAGTATTCCGGGACTTCAGAATTCAAACGGACAAGCACCTGCCACATAACATCACAGGCTTAACAACTGTTGATGAGAAAGACAGGAAAGTCAGAAAAGTGGATCTGGCAGTATCTGGAGACAGTAGAAGAGAAGAGAAAGAGATTGATGAAATTGCCATCGGTCAATTGCAAAAGGCAGCTTTACCTGCAACAGCTTACATCCCGGGGTGGGATTCTACCAGTTCGCACCTATTCGCTAGAACTGGTTGTTAACAAACATTCTAAGCAGTTCGGAGAACCGGTTGTTAGAAGAAATTACTGGCCTAATCCTGTAAGGAAGGCAAGAAGGAAACATTCTGGTGTTGCTTACAGAAACTGCCTCTCTGTTAACCCTTATTACGTTCTTGGCAGGACTAGACTTCCTGTCTCAGGAACGGCTCTGGAGTTTTTTTCCCCTCCTTTGCTGGTACTTTGCTTGTGTGGAGTGACCATTCAAAGTTACAATGGCACTGAAAAAAGTGATTTATGACCATTTTTCACACTTACGACTGTTGCAGTATTCCCACAGGCACGAGAGGCCAGGCGAGGAGATGCGTGCCTCGATGTGAGCGATGTTGAGTTGGCCACGCCCAGCCAGTCACATGACCACCAAGCCATGTCTACCCAGTCACATGACCAAGCCACGCCTACAACTAAGCCATGCCCACAGACCTGGTTGTTAAAAAAACTGAATCCCACCCGTTATATTCTGTGAAGTTATCTTTAATACCTCAACATCAAACCTCAACATCTTCCTGTCCCAGGTCCTCGGGAAGGACTTGGAAGGTGGGTTAAAATGCCACAATTAATCTAAACATCAGGTCCAATGAGACACATCCATAGCCAAGTGTCATCAATTATGCTCTCCGGTAATAATTTTGCGAGCCAACAGCTTCTGCTGCCAAGGCAATTATCTGAGGCATTTAAGGAATGCGCTACTTTCCCCCATTCCCTTTCTGCTGGCAACTAAAAAGACCAAAGGAGTATTTTTTTAGTTGACGCTAACCTTATAGCCAAAAATTATGTGTACATATATGTATGAGTAAGAAAGAGATCAGAAATTTGGGGGCTCACTCAATTGTGGTCGTAAGTCAAGGCCTATCTGAATTTGTGTATGAGATAAATTTGTGCCTGGGGGGGAGAGTCTCTCTATACAGTGACAATAGCAATAACTTGGGACTTGTGTCATAAATTTGTCGGTTTTGACCACTCCCTCCTCTCAGATGCCAACGATGAGAAGCAGTGTGTAAATATTTTAATCAAAATAAAAGATCTATGTATCAAATTTATAAAGCCACCCAACTCACAACAACTCTGGGCAACATGGAGATACTGGCCGGTGGGATGGTGGTGGTGGAGGAGAACAAAACTGATCTAAATGCCTACCTTTGTAATCCATATTACTTTCCATCAACTCAAGCACCATGTCGGCATCTTCAGCGGCAACATCACCAATGTCGACAATTATCTTGGATTGGCTGGCATAAGATATGACTGAGAACTTGATCGGAACTTCAAAACTAGAAATCTGAGGAGCAAAGAAAAGCCAAAACACACGTACACAAACACACACACACACACACACACACACACATACACACACAAAAACAGGATTACATTTTAGAGAACATCCACCAAACAGGTTGTTTTCTTTATCAACAACAAAAAAAACATTTTTCCATACGATATTCTTCCACCAAAGTATTTCATTTTCATGTTTGGCGAAGAATTCTGAGGCCTACTTGAGAGTTGATTTGGTCTAGTCATTAACACACCAAGCTAGAAAGCGGGAGACTGAGAATTATAGTCCTGTCTTAGCCATGAAAACCAGCTGGGCGGCCTTGGGCTTGTTACTCACTTAAGTATCACCTAAATATGAGCCAGCCTTGTGCTGCAGCTGCCAAAAAAAGCCAATGCAGTTCTAGGCCGCATTAACAGGATAGAACCAAGATCACGTGAAGTGTTAGTAAAGCTTTTTAATGCCTTGGTATTCAAGTATTCCAAGGCGTTATTTATTTAACACTTCAGGTGATCTTGAATCTATTCTTGATTCCAGTATTCCAAAACACTTGGAATTACTGAATCCAGTTTTGGTCTCCACGTTGAGACTCTCGAAAGAGTGCAGAGAAGAGCAACGAAGCTGATTAGGGGACAGGAGGGTAAAACATACAAAGAATGGTTGCTGGAATTGGGTCTAGTCTGGTGAAAAGAAGGGTGACATGATGGCAGTCTTCCAATATCTCAGGGGCTGCCGCAAAGAAGAAGGAGTCAAGCTCTTCTCCAAAGCACCTGAGGGCAGGACAAGAAGCAATGGGGGGAAACTAATCAAGGAGAGAAGCAACCTAGGAGAAATTTCCAGACAGTGAGAACAATTAATCAACTCAAACAGCTTTGTCTCCAGAAGTTGTGGATGCTCCAACACTGGAAATTTTAAAAAAGAAATTGGACGACCATTTGTCTGAAATGGCGTAAGGCTTCCTGCCTGAGGAGCGGGTTGGAATAGAAGACCTCCAAGGTCCCTTCCAACTCTTTTATTCTGTTATTCTGCCCGTTATTCTCTCTCTCTCCTAGGCCAATCCCCTCACGGGGGTTGTTGTGGATGGGAAAATACGAAGAGGAAAGTGTGTTGGATATGTCAGCCACCTTGGGTTATTTGAAAAAAGAATAAAGGGAGGATACAAATGAATAGATTTGTTTAAAAAATAAAATAAATAAAACTATTCCACAATGCTCCCTCAGGTGATATGAAGCAGGAGGGCCCAGGTCTGCTCAGTCTTCAAGGTAGCTTGAATTGATCAGGAATACACAATAGCAACCATTCAAATTCCCAACGAACCTCCCCCCCGTGTGTGTGTGTGTGTGTGTGTGTGTGTGTGTGTGTGTGTGTGTTATAAGTAACCAACTTTAGGCTGCACTTATTAAAGGGCCGAGGGCTGCAAAGAGCTCCATAAAAATGCCACAGAAAACCAAGGGCTTTTCCGGTTGAAGTTGAATTGTGAGGAATTTTCTGTCAAACCAAAAAGCAGGATCTTTTAAATATTATTCACTGAAAGGAAGAGGATCAGCTGTCCTCGTTTCTTTGTGTGCTATACTAAAGGATTGCAGTCACTGATCGGCTGATAACTTGAGGGGTCACCAAGTCATTGCATTGTTCTTTGAAAGTCCTCTCAACAACACACCAGCAGCTGAATACGCAAGAATGGAAGCCTATGTTTTGCTTTGGTGTCCCAGCCCTGTTTCAAAACCAGCTTTTAATCCTTGTCTCCCTGTTCAAGGTGATTGTACTGCATACCTACAATTGAACAAGAGTGATCACACCCCTCAAGGAAATCTCTAAATCAACACTTCTGGCTGGGGAATTTTGGAAGTTGAAGCCCTTGGGGGTTGCCACAGTTGAGAAACACTGCTACAAATGCTAGTAGTTACTACATGTTCTTCAGTGACCTCTTAAAACTGAATTTTGGAGATAGATAGATAGAATAGATAGAATACCTTTATTGTCATTGCATTCCCTGAATACAATGAAATTTGAAAGCTACTCCAGCACAGTGCCCCAAACACTACATCACAATCACACTACAGAGTATTTAAAAATTCAAATAATTCAAATAATAATAATAATTAAAAACCTAGTCTAAAAACTATCTAAAACGTTTAGTAAGTTAAATAGTTTAAAAATGCCACCATATATATACATAGGACTAAATCACAAATGCACTGTTTGATTCAAGACAATTAATTGCCTTGGAAAAGAAACTGTTTCTCAGTCTATTAGTCCTCATTTTAAGACACCTGTAATGCCTCCCTGATGGTAACAGTTCGAAATATGAATGACCAGGATGAGAACGGTCTGTGGAGATTTTTAGTGCTCTAGAGAGGAGTCTGGTCTTCACAATCTCTTCCAAAGAAGAAAGGGAGCAACCGATGATTTTTTGTGCTGTGTTTATAACTCTCTGGAGCATCTTCTTATCCACTGCAGAGCATCCAGCATACCACTCCGTTACACAGTACGCCAAACTGCTCTCGATGGTAGAACGGTAAAAAGTAAACCAGCAACTTCTCACCCAGACCCCTCTTTTTCAGCAGCCTCAGAAAGTGCAGGCGCTCTTGGGCCTTCTTTGCGGTGGCCATAGTGTGGACTGACCAAGTAAGGTTGTCGGAAATATGAGGACACCAGGGTGGTAAAAGAGGAGGTCTTGTTCTTAACCAATTAAAATCCAAGCACAGGGAGAAGATCTCCCAAGTAATAAAGGCAGGATTTTAAAAAAATCTAAAAAAAATAAAATGGGACTGAAGCATGCAATGAGTCAGAGGAACATGCCAGCTCAAATGCTTCTGGAAAAATGAGGAAAATGGCGTTCCGTTGTGGCACCGTTAGTTGTGTTAGTTCTACTAGTACCAATAGCAATAGGTCCCTTGGGTGCAATCCCAGGATTTCTGGATCAATTGAACCCCATCAGTCAGATAGTCCTCGACTTACAACCCCAGTTGAGGCCAACAATTCTGTTGCTAAGCTGAGTGAATTTTATTAAGCGAATTTTGCCCCATTTTACGACCTTTCTGCCCACAGTTGTTGAGCGAATCACTGCAGTTGTTAAGTTAGTAACATGGTTGTTAATACGTGGATCTGGCTCCTCCGTTGATTTTGCTTGTCAGGAGGTTGTAAAAGGGGATCACATGACCCCGGGACACTGCCACCATCATAAATATGAGGCAGCTGCCAAACGTTCCCAATTTTGATCACATGACCATGGGGGAAATGCTGCAATGGTCACAAGTGTGAAAAACGGTCACATTTTTCAGTGCCATTGTAACTTTGAATGGTCAGTAAACGAATTGTTGTAAGTCGAGGACTATCTTTACTTGGAACAACTTATGTTCTGTAAACCCAAGCCAGAGGTGGTATTCAGCAGGTTCTGACCAGTTCTGGAGAACCGGTAGCGGAAATTTTGAGTAGTTCAGAGAACCGGCAAATCCCACCTCTGACTGGAGATTTTATAGTATCTTTCCCCTGCCACGCCCACCAAGCCACGCCCACAGAACCGGTAGTAAAAAAAAATTGAATCCCACCATTGAACCAGGGATCCCCAACCTGTGGGCCATGGCGCACTATTAGTCTGCAGCCTATTCGCAACAAGGCCGCGTGTGTGACTGGCTGGTGCGTGAGTGTGCGTGTGCGCGTGCATGCACAGCCCCAGTGCATGAACATCATGGATGCTTGGGCCCCACTCGCACACTCATTGTGGGCACTCAGGGCCTCCCTCGTACGAGCGTCATGGTCCCTTGTGGCCCCACTCGCGTGAGGTCTCACAAACCCCCTCACGCAAGCGTCCCTGATGTTCGTGGGCCCTCTCATGGGAGTGCTCACAGCCCACTGGCACTCCCGTCGTGGGCACTCTGGGCCCCCCTTGTCTGAGCAAAGGGTGCTCCCACAGGCACCTGCGCCTGGTCCTCCCACAAAACCATCCCCTCCATCCCCCCTCCCCCTCCCACCTACACCATCCCGAAATGGTTGTGGAACTCCGCCGTAAATGATTCCCAAACAGCATCATCTGCCTATCCCAGGTCCTTGGATAGGTGACACAGGAGATATACATAATTTGTTCTGTAGGCAAAAGGGGCTGAAGCATTATTTAAGTCCAGAGTAACATTTAGAAGGGGCTTAGACAGATGTCCCCCTAATTTCATGGAGTATAAGAAGGAGGGGGACAATCAGGCTTGTAAAATTCAGTTATTATAGCCAACCTCGATCAAAGGAGCTTTAGGTTTCCTGTAGTATTTTTTTCCCTGTCTGGTCCCTGGTGGAGGGGATATTCACCAACGGAGGGAGCCTACAGATTGACCAATCGATCAATAAACCGATGTAATTTACTCACATACTTATCTTGGTGAAGGTCCCTTTCTCACTTCCAACTTTTGGGGATTTAATTTTGTACACCCTCTTGATTTGGCTGCTTATGGTACGGTTAACCTGGGTTAGACCTTCTTAAAGTTCAAATTAGTTTACATTTGCAGGGTAAACATATCCTTATGTCAATAGATACCAGCACTGTTGCCAACACTGCCACCGTCAAGTGCCAGGGAAATCAAGAGATCCGGGCAATTCAAATGAGTATAAAGATTTACGGGAAGCTTAAGCTCTCTACAAGAATCTGAACTACTAACAGTCAAAGCAATTGTGTGGTAGATAAGGAATTCAAGAGGGGGCTGGATTTAGACGGATAATATGTTTCACCCCTCTCTTGGGCTCAGCCTGGACATCTCCTGCATCCACCACCCAATTCTTTAATCCAGAAACTTACCCTGATTATGATTTGGCTCACAGCATCTTTAAAGATAGAAAAGTTAGGTTCTGTAACGCTGTGGGAAGCATCCAACAAGAAGTAAACATACAGGAAGCTATCTTTGGTCAGTATAAGTCTTCGGCCTAAAGATGGAGCTGATGGGAAGAAGAAAGGAACGGTTATTTCCCATAGCAAAGGTGTCAACTCATAAACATTTCTCTGGTCTTTCAGAGTTGCCAACAGAAAGGGAGGGGGGAGCAGTGCAGCCGCTTGCAAACCAAACGTGCATTCCATAAATGTTTTCAAAGATAGTTCCTAAGTGACTGGAGTTTCTGCCATGCAAAATTCTAACTGGAGAGCATGATCGATGACTCCTGGCTATGGATGTGTCCCATTGGAGAATATGAATTATGATATACCCAGGGGGTGGTGGGGTGGGGAAACAAGGGTCAAGGGTGACAATGAGTGATGTGTCTCAGAGTCGGCTACACCCAGGCAGTGCCGGCATGTTTACTCCTAATAAATTCTAATAAATACTCCTAATAAGTTTTGAAAATCCGGCTAGAGACTCATGATTTAAGTGGGGGTAGCTACCAGAGCCCTGATAAAAGGAACGCGCTTCCACTGATACCAGATACTTGTCCTAAAGGTGATTTTTTTCAAGAGACAACTGGGCTTTCTGGTTTCTGCAGGATGTTTTCTGCCCTGTGTCCCTTCACTGTTGAACACAGGTGCAGGCTGTTGTCTGCAAGGAGTATAAATCCTTCTATTCCCCACCATCCAGTCAGAGCTGAAGAAGCTTCTTGGGTGAGAAGTGAAATGTCTTCAAATAAAGACAACATACAGTCCAATTGCCTCTTGAAAAAAAAAAAGCACCTTTGGGACATCCATGACTTTGGATGACTGAGAAGCTCTGTAGAAATACCAGGTCCTTCTTTTCTCTCTTTCCCCTTCTTATAACCCAGGATATCTCCAAAGAAGCGGAAAATGATTCAGAAGCCACAAAAAGGTGACAGCCCAAAGGCAAAGCCACGGAATTTGCTTGCACAAAACGTATCAGGAAATTGACCTGATGAATATATCCACAGCATCACCATGGTGTGTGTTTCTCAACTTTAGCACGTGATTCTGCAAGTGGCTGTGACTCACTGCATGTAACATTCCTATGCCTGTTTTAGTAGTTGCCATAGGGAGGGAGGGAGGAGGAAGGAAATCTGGAAGAGCAGTTGAAAGCAAAAATACATTCCAACCCTTATCTTTAAAAGATTGTAACTCAAATACCAGAGCTTTTGCCTGCAAATATATTTAATTGGAGAACGTGAAGGATGACACCCAGCCTGTGAATGTGCTCAATTGGAGAATCCGATGTATGAGACACCCAGGGGACTATAAATTATGTATGCCAGGATTGGCTTCATACAGGGCAGTGCCAGTATGCCGCCTCAATTAAATCCTTTGAAGTTTTTTGAAGTTTGGCTCAAGAATCATGATTTAATTAGAGCGATTGCTGGAATCCTGGCAGCATGCTTCAGTCCCGCTGGAGATCTCTCCCGCATCTATCATTTAATTAATTCACAAAAAAACTACAGTACACAGTTCTTGAGCAATACTGAATGGGCCCTCTTTAAGTGCCATGGTAATCCTCCAATATTAATTTTTAAGAGATTTGTGAAAATTATGTTGGAACTACCATCATTTATAACAATGTTTCTCACTGTTTTGAGACTTGAGAACTTCCGGACTCCAATTCCCAGAATTCTACAGGTAGCATGCTAACTAGGGAATTCTGGGAGTTGAAGTTCATGTATCTTAATTATCAAGGCTGATAAACACTGGTCTAATTCATGGAGGATAAGGTTATCAATGGTTACTAATCATGTTACCTTGGCCTTTCCAGATAAACCACACAGGAAACTTGACTAGATGAGTGAAAATTACTTTATTATAAGGCGACATTAACACTATATCGTGAGTCTGAAAGTACAAATTCCTGCCTGTCACTTTTATCTGGTAGAGCCATTAGATTAGCTGGTCTGGAGAGAAAAAAAGACTCACTTTGAATGGTTCCAGAAGGGTCCAACTCAAAGGTGGATACTTCACTCAGAACATCCGTCAACGAGGCTCCAAATTCAGCTTTAACATCTTCAGCTCGGTCATAAGAATAACTGGCTGTTGAGATGGGAAAAAGGGAGCATCTTGTGTTATTGCAAAAGAGATGAAGGCATTGATTCCGGTATTTGAGAGGCTACCACAAAGAAGAGGAAGTCAACTTGTGCTGTCCAGACAGTTTATAGGTAATGGGAATTGAGATAGTTAGTTAGGAATTGAGAGCTGTCCCCTTAAGGGAATGCATCATGGCAAATGCAGTTAAGGTATCCTAGGAAATGTAGTCCATGTCATGTGGCCACATCTGTAATCCTGATTGGTCACTGAATTGACCCTTGGTGGGTTGGGGGAGGTTTCTTCACGCTTGCTTGGACCCCAGCAGCACGCTGGCATCTCTCCCTTTGCTCCACTACTACGGGATGAAAGATCACAATCCTTTTACACCATAAAGTCAGCTATGCAGAGAATTGGACATTGAGATGAATCTCGACGTAACCGTAAGTTATATTGAGGATGCCTGATGAACCAATAAAGAAACTTTGTATGGATGCTTTGTGGAGTTATCTATCTGCCTTTATACATTCAGTCAGTAATTATAGAGAACAGAATACAACTTATTTTCCAAAGCCCCAGAGGGCAGGACAAGAAACAACAGATAAAAACTAATCAAGGAAAGAACCAAAATGGAATTAAGGAGAAACTTCCTAACAGTGAGGACAACTAACCAGTGGAACAGCTTTGCCTTCAGAAGTTGTAGGTGCTTCACCATTGGACTGGAGGTTTTTAAGAAGACATTGGACAGCCACTTGTCTGAAACGGTATAGGGTCTTCTGCTTAAGCAGGGGGTTGGACTAGAAGACCTCCAAGGTCCCTTCCACCTCTATTCTGACTGATTGATGGATTGATTGATTGATTGATGAGAGATTGCTCTGAACAATATTTTGTAATTAATCTGGCCATGGAATTAACGTTTGTTCCATCCAAGTTCCATTCTTACTGTACCTGAATTTGGCTTCTATTCTGCAAAAAAAAAATTCTTTAGCTTTTCTTGAGATTTCAAGCAGACAGCACGGAGTATATTTACTTGGTATAAAACCATTTTAACCAATGCTTCTGTTTGAAGCTGTTATTTCAAAGGAAAAGCAACTGGCATTCACGGAAACTGGACTAAGATATTCCAAAGTCTTCCCTTTTTTTAACAGTTAAAAAACTTTATTTAGCAATAACACAGCATATAGATGGAGCTGTTTACTCATTTCCCTTTTTTAAAAGGTACATCAACAGGGCTCTGTGCTTGTTTCACAGGGGCTCCTTGGCTTATGACCACCATTCAATCCAAAATTTCTATTTTTCAGTAAGACAGTTGTTAAGTGAGTGTGAAAAATGGTGTTAAGTCACTTTTTTCAGTGCCGTTAAAATTTTGAACAGGCAAGAAACAAATGATGGTTAGTCAAGGACTGCCTGTATTTTTTTTCCAAGTCTCATTATAATCCTTATTTAAAACAATTTTTGTTCAAAAAAATTGTTTAGGACAAGAAGCAGTGGGTGGAAACTCATCAAGGAGAGAAGCAACCCAGAACTAAGGAGAAATTTCCTGACAGTTAGAACAATTAATCAGTGGAACAACTTGCCTCCAGAAGTTGTGAATGCTCCAACACTGGAAGTTTTTAAGAAGATGTTGGACAATCATTTGTCTGAAGTGGTGTAGGGTTTCCTGCCTAGGCAGGGGGTTGGACTAGAAGACCTCCAAGGTCCCTTTCAATTCTGTTATTTTGTTATTCTGCCTGTTATTCTCTCTCTCTCTCTCTCTCTCTCTCTCTCTCTCTCTCAGGCCAACCCACTTCACGGGGTTTTTGTTGTGGGGAAAATAAGAAAGTGTGTTGGATATGTTAGCCATTTTGAATTATTTGAAAAAATAATAAAGGGAGGGTGCAAATTTTTAAAATAAATAAATAAAAATATTCCACAATGCTCCATCAGGTGATATGAAGGAGGATCCTAGTCTGTTCATAGTCCTATTCTATTCATAGTCCTATTCTATTCATAGTCCTATTCTATTCTTGTGGTTCGCTGGCAGCTGGCACAGATGGCAGTGGAATCGGACAGTGGGGAAGAATGGGGACCAGTCAGGGAATCTGGAGAGGACTTGGATGAGGGTCCTGCATCTGATGCAGAGATGGGGCCAGGACCATCTGAGAATGGGGTGCTGACTCCAGAGCCTCTGGAGTCTGGCAGCAGCGAGACAGAGGACCCAGGGGAGCCTGTTCCCAGTGCGTGTGTGCGCAGAGCTACTAGAAGGCGAGAGCAGCTGAAACTAAAGGGGCAACTTGAGAGTCAGGCTGGGAGCTGATTGCTCCTCCCATAAGGTATAAAGGAAAGGCAAAGGTGAAGAAACCTTTGCAGGAAGCAAAGTAGTTTGATTGGTTCAGAGTCATTCTTGAAGCTCTTCGTACTTTGGTTGGGTTTTTTGGTACTTTGGTTGGTTTCTTTTCTAGTTCATTTGATACTTCTGTTTTTGGCAGCACTTCACAGAACTGAAAGGTGTGTACTTATCTTGGGGAACTGTTAATTCCGGCTGGGAATAAAAACAATTCCCAGCGTTGCAATAACAGAAGTCTTGTTTTTAAGCTTGGGTCAGAATAATTCTACTCTATTCTATTTTATTCTATTCCTATTCCTATTCTAAAAAGATATTATCTTTGAATGAACAAAAATAATTGCAACATAAAAAAGGAACATAAAAAGATGATAAAGGAGCCACAGCAACTGAAAAGGAGATGCATCTAATGAATGCTTTTTTAAAAAAAGATGCAGAAGCTAAAAGATAAGAGGTGACTCTGGAGATAATCTAATCTAACCCGCTGGGGAAAAAAGGGTGTTCTTGAAATGCATACCTCTACAACTTGGCTGCGTGTCAGACCATTCGCCATCCAGCATGCAGACCCGCTGGGATGATCCAATCAACTCTAAGTTAGTCTGACATTTGAATGAGATCTGATCACCCAGACGGTTGCCTTTTCCTGTAGCAATCGCCCCCGGGGGCACAGCCAGGGTGAGGCAGTGCCCAACTGTGGAGAGAAGAAGACAATGTTTTTTATTTTTTTTATTTATTTGATTTGTCAATCACTTACAAGATAACAGGTATAAGTACAAGCATAGTTATGAATACACGAAATGGATACATATAAAAAAATTAAAAAGAAACAATAGGACAGGGATGGTAGGCATGTTGGTGCGCTTATGCACGCCCCCTAGAGGCCTCTTAGGAAAGGGGTGAGGTCAATAGTAGACAGTCTAAGGTTAAAGTTTTGCGGGTTTGGGGAAGAAACCACAGAGTCAGGTAGAGTATTCCAGACATTGATCACTCTTGCTGAAATTGTATTTCCTGCAATCAAGTTTGGTGCGTAACCTTAAGTTTGTATCTATTGTGCGCTCTTGTGCTGTTATGGTTGAAGTTGAAGTATTCATTGACAGGTAGGACATTGCAATGTATGATTTTATATACTATACTTAGATCAGACCAAAGGCGTCATAGTTCTAGATTTTCTAGGTCTAGAATTTCGAGTCTGGTGGCATAAGGTATTCTGCAACGAGTAGAGGAATGGAGAACTCTTCTTGTGAAATATTTCTGGACTTTCTCAACTGTGTTAATAGCAGATACGTAATGTGGGTTCCAGACTGATGAGATGTACAACATCAACACAATTGTAAAGGAGATGAGACTATAGCAAATGATGTGGGAAGATAACTGCCTAAGTCTCATACTGCTTCCAAATTATTTCATTTTTACAGCACAGCAGGGGTGGGATTCAAATTTTTTAACAACCGGTTCTGTGGGCACGGCTTAGTTTGTGGGCATGGCTTAGTTTGTGGGCATCGCTTAGTGGTCATGTTATTGTCTGGGCATGGCCAACTCAATATCACTCACGTCGAGGCACAATCTCCTCGCCTGGCCTCTCATGACTGTGGGGATGTTGCAACAGTTGTAAGTGTGAAAAATGGTCATGTCACTTTTTTCAGTGCCATTGTAACTTTGAATCGTCACTCCACACAACCAAAGTACCAGCAAAGGAGGGGGGAAAAACTCCAGAGAAGTTCCTGAGACAGGAAGTCTAGTCCTGCCAAGAATGTAATAAGGGTTAACGGAGAGGCAGTTTCTGTAAGCAACACCAAAATGTTTCCTTCCTGCCTTCCTTACAGGATTAGGCCAGTAATTTCTTCTAACAACCGGTTCTCCGAACTGCTTAGAATGTTAACAACCGGTTCTAGCAAATAGGTGCGACCTGGTAGAATCCCACCCCTGCAGCACAGTACACAGGTAGACCTCAACTTATAATAGTTCATTTAGTGACCATTCAAAAGTTACAAGGGCACTGAAATGAGGGACTCGTGACCAGGGCTGGGCTGCTGGGGGTTCGCAGGGGTTCAGGAGAGCCCCTAGCTAAGATTCTGTGCAGTTGGAGAACCCCCAAATCCCACTCCTGGCTGGCCCTGCCCACACCTCCCCCCCTAGGAGTCCCCATACAGCCCGGTTTGGATGCAGGTAAGTGCTTTACTTTTGGATTTTGCCAATTAGATAGGTTTGTTGTTATAGAAATGGCTAGTTTATATTACTATGTAAAAGTGAAAAATTGAGGCTTGATGCTATTAACTTATTCTATCGCACCAAGGGGTCATAAGTCAAGGCCTTTTCTTTCTTTTCCCCCTTTTTCCTACACTTCTCCCTTCCCTTTTCCTTCCCCTATCTTTCCCACTGTTTTATTTTGCATTTTTGAATCTTATATTATAAACCAGGGGTCTGGCTGGCTGGGGAATTTCTGGGAGTTGAAGTCCACAAGTCTTAAAGTTGCCAAGTTTGGAGATCCCTGTTATAAACTAATTTTTTTAAAAAAATGATTTACCTCCATCATCACAAACAGGGGAGGTCCCATTCCATTGGCCGTTGGGCTGGCAGTATCGCTGGGATGAGCCGAGGAGCTGATACCCGTCAGAACACTGAAAACTCAGGATGTCACCAATGGGGTGGAAAGTTCGCCGTGGGATGAAAAAGCCATTTTCAAAGCTTATCTGCCCTGGGCAGCGTATATCTGCAAAAAAAGAGAGAGAGAGAGAAGAGAAGAGAGATCAGGACTAAAAAATCCAAAATTTAGATGCAGAATTAAAATGGAGAAAGAAACGTCTTCAAGAATTAAAAAAACAAAGTCCAGTTGCCTTTTGAAAAAGCATCTATGGGACTCCATAGCACTTGTTCCGCTAACCCTGCTATGTGGGGTAGGCAGACCGATCACCATTGGCATCGAAGTTCTCCAGGGAGCTTCTGTAGCTGAACGGGGACTAGCATCTGGGTCTAGTTAAACCTGTATAACCGTGATGGCGAACCTACGGCACACGTCCCGGAAGTGGCACGCAGAGCCATCTCTGTTGGCACGCGAGCCATCGCCCCAGTACAGTTCCACATATGCATATGCCTCCCGCCAGCCAGCTGATTATCAGGTATGTATCGCACATATAGGGGGGCGAGGTGCATGCAGGAGACGCGTGCGCATGCGCAGGAGGCGGGGGAGTGCAGGGGAGGTCACTCGTGCATGCACAGGAGGGCAGGGGGAGCACACATGTGCATTGCATTATGGGTGCTGGCACACACACATGCACGTGCACACCCTTTCAACATGCTATGACGAAAAGGATAGCTGTGCTGTCCAGACACTTTAGAGTTAACGGGATTTGGGATAGTTAGTTAGGAATTGGGAGCTGTCCCCTTAAGGGAATGCATCATGGTAAATGTAGTTAAGGTATCCTGGGAAATGTAGTCCATGTCATGTGGTCACATCTGTAATCCTGATTGGGTCACTAAATTGACTCTTGTTGAGTTGGGGGAGGTCTCCCTCACTCTTGCCTGAAGCCATTACCATGCGACTTCTTCAAACATCATGAGTTGAGACTTTATTACCTTCCTACACCACAATTCAGATATGCAAAGGATTGGACATTAAGAAGAGCCTCGTCATAAATGTGAGTTGACAGGATGCCTGATGAACCAATAAAAAAGACTTTGTGTGGATGCTTGATGGAGTTGATCTATCTGCTTTTGTACAGTGTTTGTACAGGACAGGCAGATCAGTAGGAAGATATATATATATATGTTCTGTCTCACTTGTAGTCACAAGTGAGAGTCCAAATGTCCCATAGAAATAAACACGAACAAATAATACCAGAAACCACAGAGTTAACTTGTCTCTGTAATCGTTGTTGGCAGCTTTCCCAGAAACTTGTCTTCAAGCCGAGCCGCAAGATAAATCAGGAACAGGAACAGAGGCTTCTTCAAAGCTGCGCAGTAATTAACGAAGTTTGATCCAGACAAGGGCCATTAACTAACACGCCTCCTTATATTCCTTGAAGGGGTGTGTCAGTCTCTCTAATTAGTCTCTGACTTGACGTTTCTTTTCAAATTGTGCTTGACGTCTCAACCTGCGTCTAGTCCTTGCATCAACCCAACATTCGTCATCACTCAAGGACTCTGGTATGTTCTGTGGATCAGCTGCTGACACCTGAGGCATGATAGAAGTGGAAGGTTCTGGAGAGGATGGTGTTTCCGACACTCCCTCATCCTCCTGGCTCACATCTGCATCTCTCATTAGAACAGGCTCCTATTCCAATGCCAAACCTTCCTCATCACTCAAACCTGTGTCTTCTGATACATCAGGCTCAAAACTCACAGCAGGCTCAAACCTTCCAGTCACAACATATATATATATACTCCAAAAGACAAATTAGGGCTTATTTTCAGGGAAACATGGTATCAGGATGATCAGGCTGGGTGCCCCACCTCTGGCACACAAGAGGTGGTGAGCAAAAAGGTGCCAACAGTGTCCAACAGCAGCTACAGCCCACCAGCCCCGTGGCCAGTACACTTTGGTGCTGCGCAGACCATGCAGTGCAGGTGAGTCTGAGCACTGCGACCACCAGGCGGGCCCTCAAAGCAGCAGGCAGAGGTAAAGGCATTGAGGGTGGGCAGGAGGCATACGATCTGGCCCGCTGGATGTGCCATGTGGCAAGCAAAGACTGTTCTGACCCAAACCTTGTTCCAAGGAAACAAACACGAAACAGAGGTAACAGCAAAATCTTTTAATGATTGTTTACAAATTCTGTTCCTTCCTGGTTAAAAGGCTGTTTCAAACTATTTGTCTCTGATAAGAACGAGCCTTGCCAAGGTTGTGCAAGGCTTCCAAGAACACTTGATCAAGTTGCTAAGAAATAGTTCAAACACAAAGAGTCTCCAACCACAAACTAAGAGAGTCCAAACGTCCACAAGGCTTGAGTGCAAAAACTTCTTTGCTTCCTGAAAAGAACTCCGGTTTCTCAGCTGGCTTTTATCTCTAAAGGGAGGGGCCTTACTCTCGAGTCACCTGTGCTGCTGCAGCTGCTCTTCAAGCAGCCCTGTGCTCACACGCACTGGGCACAGGCTCCTCGGGGGCCTCTTCATCACTGCTGCCAGCCTCCACAATCTCCAAAGGCAGCATTCCACTCCCTGATGGTCCTGGCCCCATCCCTGCATCACACGCAGGCCCCTAATTCTGAGTCCTCGCTCTCCGAGACCTCAGCCTCCTGCACCTGCTGCCGGCAAACCACAACAAGGGTTTATTTCTGGTTTCCTGCAATTGTCTCTGATAAGAACGAGCCTTGCCAAGGTTGTGCAAGGCTGCCAAGATAAAGTTGCTAAGAAATATTTCAAACACAAAGAGTCTCCAGACACCAACCAAGACATCCCGAACTTCTACAAGGCTTGAGTGCAAAAACTTCTTTGCTTCCTGCAAAGAACTCCGGTTTCTCAGCTGGCTTTTATCTCTGAAGGGAGGGGCCATTACCTTGCAGCCTTATTCCCCAGTCGCCTGTGCTGCTGCAGCTGTTCTTTCCTTCGAGCAGACCTGCGCGAACGCACCCTGGGCACGGGCTCCTCGGGGGCTTCTTCATCACTGCTGCCAGCCTCCACAATCTCCAAAGGCAGAATTCTACTCCCTGATGGTCCTGGCCCCATCCCTGAATCACACGCAGGCCCTTCGTCTGAGTCCTCACTCTCTGAGACCTCAGCCGTTCGCACCTGCTGCTGGTGAACCACAACAAAGACAGACAGCGGGGTAGACTGCGTGGGCTTCCACCTTGCACTCAGACTCTGACAGGGGCATGACACAGTGGCAGCCTAAATCTCATAGGCCTTGGTCTGAAAATCAGGACAAATAAAGTCCTCCAAAGCTCCTAATCTCTCAGGTCAAAACTGAGCGATCACAGGTTTTCCTCGACCCATCACTGCAATTGAGCCCAACATTTCTGTTGCTACGCGAGACAGTTGTTCAGTGATGTTTGCTCCATTTTACGACATTCTTGTCCCAGTTGTTAAGCGAATCACTGCAGTTGTTACGTGAGTAGCATAGCTGTTAAGTGAATATGGCTTCCCCAATTACTTTTGCTTGTCAGAAGGTTGCAAAAGGGGATCATGTGACCTTGGAACACTGCAACCGTCGTAAGTACGAGTCTGTTGCCAAAATTTTGATCAGGGGATCCTGGGAATTCTGCGCCGGCTGTTAAGTGTGAAAAACGGTCACAAGTCCCTTTTTTCAGTGCCTTTGTAACTTCGAATGGTCACTAAATGAACTGTTGTAAATCAAGGGTTACCCGTAACTAATCTTTGCTGGGAACTTTGGTCCAAAAAGCTGCTTAAAGATGGGAAAGGCCAATGAAGTCCCTCCATTTGTGTGGGACTCCTGCAAGGTCAATATTATTGCAAGTGTTTACACCTTTGCTAATTTTTAAAGAAATCATTGCAAAATGATGTGAAATTGTCACTGTTGACCAGAACTCTGCATGCTCCATTGTTTGGAAAGGTATTCACTGCCCTCCCCTTTCCAAACATTTTGAGGGGAAAGATAAATATAGAGTTTGTGCAGTGTTTTCTTTTTTCTTTTTAATCCTTTGTACTTTCGGTATGGAAACGAGCGATTGTAACGGCGTTCTGGGTTCACCTAGGAAATTCCTGGCATTGCGTAAGCACAAAAAAAAGATCCGATAAGAGGAAAGCGAAATAAAAATACCCATGGGTATCAGGAAATGGGGTGGCTTTAAATTAATACAGAAATGAGCACGTTATAGAGAGCATGGCTGATAACCATTCGCGCAAACAGACCAGCGTTCAAAAATATATCAAACATTCCGGCTTATCAAAAACAAACATACTCCATCACCCAGAAGGAACCACTGAACAAGCTAGAGAACCTCTTGAGATTGTCCTCAACTTCCAATCGTTTGACCATTTAGTGACCGTTTGAAGTCACAATGTATGCAATGTAATTTCATTTTAATGTATGCCAATTAGTGTACAATTGAAGTGCCAATAAAGTATTGTATTGTATTGTATTCTATTGTATTCTATTCTATTCTATTCTATTCTATTCTATTCTATTCTATTCTATTCTATTCTATTC